CCCCTTCCAGCGCCGCAGTGCTCTGGTGCCCATCGGCAGATGGCGGCTTCCCTCCGCCCGTAACTGACGCCTTATGAATTCTGCCTCCTTTTCAGGACCTCTCGGTGCTAATTGTTCCTGACTGTGAGAACGGTGTGTCAGCTCCATCCTAACAAACAAGACACTTAGATAAAACTGTGTAGGCACCTCTGCCTCGTCTTCATTGTTCCTGCGACTGTGCTGCTGTTATCACAGCATGTACCTGATGCACCCTCACATCGTTTCAGGAGGCAGGCCGGGGAATCACAGTCACTCTCTTTATGTGGTTTGACTTCAGAGGCCATTACTATACCTCTTGGCCTCTGTTGATGTTGGAAGAAGTCAACAAAGGGTCGCGGGATTGAAATTGTACTTCAGAGCCAGTAAACCTGTCAGAACGAGCTCTTCTGTCTGCATCTTGTGCTTCCAGCTCCCGGTCTGTTGCATCTGGATTGTGCCATTTCATTATAGTCCATTGTGCACCCCAAAACTGAAACTTACCTTCTGTAGAAACCGCCACTAGCAAAGCAGGATCTGGGCTGACCAGTGGGAAGCAGCCCTGAGAAGCATACAGGGTAGAGCTTGAGGTTCCATCCCAAAGAACATAGAATGAGCAGGGACGGAAGGATGCACCGCTCAGACCTTGACTAGAGCACTGTCAGCTGTGGGTATTGGAGGGTCTGCCTCTGAATTCAACCAACCACAAAAATAATTCAGAGAAAGAATGTATCTGTACTAAACATGTACAGACTTATTATTCCCTAAACAGTAGAGAATGACTTTAACATGGGCACTTACATCGTATTAGGTACCGTGAGTCACGTGGGGATGGTTTGGAGTGCGGGAGGCTATGCGTGGGGTGTAGACAGATACTATGCCGTTTAGAAGGGGCTTTGATATCTGAGAGGGACTCCTGAAACCCCACCAGCTGTACTCCTACCTTCATAGTTGGGATTTTATAGCTAAGTAACAAGAGGTCAGAACAAAGCTCAGGGTGGGATTCTTTCTTTTTTAATTTTGTGGTGCTGGGGATCAAACCCAGGGCCTTGCGAATACTAGGCAAGTGCTCTACCAGCTGAGCTCCATCTCCCACCCCGGCCGGGTTTCCTTAAGCCTGCTTGATGTCCTGAGTGGTAGGCACCTGAGAACTCTCAAACCTCGCAGGGAGAAGACTAACCGCAGTGCTGCTGTCGGCTGCATCTGGGGAGGATCATCCAGCTCTGTCACCCATGCCTTTCCAGTCACTTTCTGCCAACCTTGGGAGGAAAGGAGCATGAATTCAAAACACCCAAATTTGGGTTCCAGGATCCAACAGAGACAAAACTAGCTGCCCCAATCCAGAGTAGGGCAGGGCTTCAGTTTTTTTAAGTCGCATTCAAGGCTGGGCATCAGGCACGGGGTGACTTAGGCCAGTCCCATCCACTGTGTCACTTCACTCCCCGTCTTCTGAGTTCTTCCTTTCCCACCCAAGAGACTTCACATTAGGTGCTTGGCATGACTTGTGGCTCACAGCACTCAGTGAAAGGTGGGCACCCTCATTAGTGCTTTTACCCTGGGCCTCCCTGCCTCCGGGTGGGGCGCTCTGAGTGCACCAGCGTGACTTATGCAGGTTTACCCGCTGTGCTTGCGTTTTGCTCCTCACTTGCAGCTAGAAAGTGACATGATGAAGGGTCGGATTTGGTTGTTGGAGCTCCACCGCCAGTTTCGGCTGTACACTTCCCTCTTGGCTAAATGTTAATCGCTCAGGCACACCCGGTTCCTTGGCTCGAGTGTCCTAGTCGTGGGTATGTGGCTCAGCTGTCATCTCAGGCCCCTCCAGCAAAACAAGGAGAGCTCAGTGGCAGTGCACAGCCACTTGGACTTGAGTGTTTTCTTGATTCCCTGGCTCGCCCAGCCCTGCTATGCATGCCAGGGTGGAATGCAAGTTCTGCTCGGTGGAAGGCTGGAATCTTGGCAACACTTTTGTAGTCACAGGTTGAACACAGAAGCAGTCTCACATTTATGCCTTAATGACACTGGCGAGGGCTGGCATCTTACTCCCTTACCTGCCAAAGCAACAGTTTGAGGGGACAGGGAATCTTACAACCAAAACTGGCAGCAAGTGGTCCCAGCAGGGACAGCCCTCCACCTGAGCTTTATGCAGGCTGGTCCCTGTGAGTATTAGTCACGTCCATCATTAACCTGCAGGTTGCGTTTGCTCAGTACATACTCAGGGCCTCCTGAGTATGCACCAGGCATTTTGAGGCATTTACGCATTATTTTAGTGGACATTAGTGTGTTTGATCTTGAAAAATGTCTTCTGAAGCAGTCCTCTGCATTTTTAGAGGAACCTAAACTCATGGTTGGCTGTATGGCTTGCTGACTAGCACCGCTCAGTGACAAAGCCAGAACTTTCCTTTGAGCCTGGGAGTCTGGCTTTCGGTGGTTTCAGTGGCGTTTCAGGGGTTGAGTCTTTCAGGTTGAGTTTCCATGTTCACCTGGAACAGTCTGGCATCTGTGTGGAAGAGTGAGCAGTAGCACCAAGGCCTAGATTTTTTTTTTCCCCCACTGGGGATTGAACCAGGGGCACTTTACTGCTAAGCTACATCCCCAGTCTTTCTATTTGTTACTTTAAGACAGGGTCTTGGGCTGGGGTTGTGGCTCAGTGGTAGAGTGCTTGCCTAGCGTGTGTGAGGCACTGGGTTAGATTCTCAGCAGCACATATAAATAAACAAAATAAAGTCATTGACAACTAAATATAG